TGGAAACCGCTGACTTAGAACAGTCCAGCTAGTTCTGCACTGTTACCGTCTATGGGAAATGAAAGAGAAATCAGAGACTTTTGGGGGATATCAAGGACTCTTGGGTAGATAGGTACATGCACTCCAAAAATCCGAGGATTCGGTGTTTGATCCTAATATGCCCGAGACCTAGAATGACAACTCTGCTGGGGTCGAGGTATGATGTGGCGCGAAGGGGTTTGAGCCTCGCATCAGAATACTGCAGGCCAGCTCAACGCCTAGTCCAACTGTTGACATACTCTCACCGCCAATCATCCTCGGATGGTGCAGCTACCATGCAATATGTCAATGACGGTAGAGCGCGGCCATCCGGTGTGAGTTGAGGTTGATGGCACTGGCCGGTGCTCTGCGTGGCCGGATTCACAGCGCCGAGGACCCCCTGAGAGATTTCCGCTGGGTAAGATGAAGGGCCAGGGTGGAATGGATTGCCATTGGACTCGAAATACAGGAAGAGCTCATGAGGAAGAACAGCGGGCGTCGAGAGGATGGCGTCTGTGGCTCCCAACTCGAGTGGTGGAGATCCCAAGCCGGTGGTAAGTGAAGCTTGTGCAGGGTTGAGCTCTTCAGGCAAGGTGGCCGTCGCGAAGCTCTGCTGCTCACATGCATTGAGGTTGCAGACAACGCCCGGAGCTACATGCAGCGTGACGCACTGCCCAACCTGGTGTTGGCGGGCAATGTTGTGGTTTCGGAGGGTGTCGTTCGCGGGGACCCCTCGGACAGGCCAGCATTCATTCAAGACGAAGCAGTTCTGGGTCGGTGCGGGTTGAGTTTGGTAAGGGGCGGAACGAGGAGCTGGAGAGCGGGTTCCAGTGGTGGCAGGGCCAGTTGGAGTCCAAGGAGGTGAGAGAGGTGTCCAAGCTGGCGTCTGGGTAAAGTCACTGGCGATCCTCGAGGCCCACCAAGCAGCCTGGGCTTGTATTGATGGCGTTGCCGGCGTTGGTAACCATGCCGAGCCAAAGGCCAAGTACAGAATTGCTGCTTTCCTGGGCTTCCTCAAGCGGTGTCCATAATTTGGACAGAGCTCATTTCTCTTCAAATGTTCCCACAGCTGCTTCCGGGAGGGGTAGATCGTGTAGCATCGCAGACACACACACGCTCCCGACGGCTCCTTGATGTACTCCTCCAGCTCATCTGCAGACCAGTGCGCAACTCGATTGCATTTGTTGCATGCTCGAGCACCGGAGCACACACACTGCACCAAATACTTTTTTTTATCCCCGTCCGAGCAGGCCACGGACCGGACGATGCCATGTTCCCGGGTCAGGTGCTGTATGAGGTGGGAGATTTCTTCGTGCTGCGTCAGGCACGATTTCGAACACGCTGAGGACCAGGGACTGGGCTGGGATATCAGGAAGGGGCAGTATCGCCTGAGGATCTCGAACTGGTCCAGAAAAGGATGCTGTGCTGACAGCAGGTTCCCGATGGTCTCAGTTTGCAGGTTGCCTGCTATGGCGTTCCGGTGGCATTCCCGTCTACTGGCGCCAGCAGGCTGAGGCACCGCGCTTGCGAGGTCCCCCTCGACACCGCCGTTTAGCCGTGGCCAGTCTCCAGATTGGCGAGCTTCAGCGTGACCTCTAGGGCGCGTCGCATTGACGGCGGTGTTTTCAGCTGTCGTTGCGGAAAGCGCCTCAGACAGTGAGACACACTGATGGATATGACTGTCGGGTTGGTTGACAGTCCTCATCAACCCGTGGGCCCGCTCGGGCGTCTGACAGCCGGCCAAGGAGCAAGGAGAAGCGTCGATGCCACGGCATTGACCGTCCTTCGGGAGCAAGTGGAATAGCACGTTGGGGTGGAGCTGAGAAGTTGGAGCCTTGTTGAGGCATTCTCGGGGGTGACCGCTGCTGTCCACGTTGCCTAGGTCGGCATTGTCATCATGGGTAAGTTCCGATGCCCGAGGGCACCATGGCTGCCTTTCGTTGGAATGCTCCATCCCTGTCGGTCGAACACAACATGAGTTTCATACAACTAATGTACCACGTGGGAGAGAGAAGGGGTGAGGCAAACCTGTTGTTGATCCCCTCAGTCTCTCCTCTAAAGTGAGATTCTAAGGTTGAAACAATGACACCAGACGTAAGGCCGTGACTCGCAGGTCTTGAGTGCCAGCACTGGACAGTTGACTTAAGGGAACAAGATTTGAGAGAATGATGGTTGAGAGTTATTCTCGATGAGGTCGAGCAACTTCGTTTACACATGTGTGGATTTAAAGGATCAGACTGCTCCCAGGAAGTGGAAGCATCATGTACAGGCCAAGGATCACACTTGAGCTTTCCGAGCGTATGCATGTAGAGGCATGTCTGCCATGCAGAGCCGGTCTCTCGACACGTCGGCCACTCGTGGTAAAGTCTCGACAAACTTTTAATTATCTGCAAGTATACCCAATGGTTCACAACGAATATCCTCTTGTCCGGGGCCACGGCAGCAAGAGTCTCGAGATGGGAACCCACTGCAGGCGGAGGTGAAGGGAAGTCCTTACGTAGGTAAGGTACATGCAACAACCGCCATGTCGATTCCAACGAATAGAGAGGCCGCCTAGATTCAATCCCTTGCGAAGGAACCCAAATTGATTCCCCCGAGTGGTTGTGCGTAGCAGTCGTCTGAACAAGGTGGTTCAGCACATCATCCGGCATACCAGCCCAGCGGTTAGCCCGCGCAGCAAGCACGAGAGCGGAAGTGGGTAGGAGCTCAGAAGAGTTCTATTTTGGTAAGACATTCTATTGGCCCTGACTCCCACGCGTGGCTGAGATCTCAGATCTAGTGCCTGACGTTGGTACTGTAATGTTCTAGACCAAACCCCCTGCACCTGCTGCATGTCAGCACATCGGGTAGTGTACCTGTCCTACCGGTTCGCGGTACCTTTGCTAGCTGGGGCGTATGGTTGACCGCGATCAAGACACCCCTACGTGACTCTTACAGGCTCCCTCGGAAGTGAAGATTTTTTGCTTCCACAATTTGTGAAGGTTCCTACATTGATGGTTGCTTATCAACACCTAGCCAGTTCGGGATCCAGTGCTACTGTGCTCCCACGCCGGTGTGGTGACACAGACCTCCTGGCGACAAGTTGCATATTTGCCAAGCCCGCGTCGTCACTTGCCAGACATCTCTCCGGCCTTGATCATAATGGGGCAGTCGGAATCCCACGCCAAGCGATGCTGTTCAAGAGAAATGCGGCCGCTTGGTGGCGGCGAGACAACGATTCGAGTTTCAAGTTGCGCCGCCGTTCAGACTAATGTGAGTCTGTTATTATTGACTGCATGCCCGTGCATCTGTCAAACTCCAAATCAAGTGTCAAGTCTAGTTTCCTCGCAGTGCCCGCTCTGTGCTACCGAGGGCCCTGACATGAATGTTAGCAACCGGATTCGCAATGAACGGCGACAACGTGTCAGGCCCGACTGCAGTGCCTCTAGAAGAGGCGTAAGCAGCCTGTTCCGTCCATTTGCAAACCCATTCCCATGGAATTATTAGAGCAGGCCAGCAGATATAATTATCTGAAGCCCTTCTCTAAGAGTTGTTCTGCCCACTGCCACCACCGCACAATATGTTGTTGGTCTTTCTTCTTTGCCCCTCGAAGTTTCGAGCAGTTCCGGAAGATCTGATGTTGACCTATAATACCTCACCTTGCGGCTGAGCACTGAACGGCGTGTTCAATCGCATCCAAGTTAACCCATAGCGGCCCCACAAAGCAGCCCGAGATTGTGGTGAATTAAACTTCGAGTCAAGTGAGTCAGAGACGATTATTTTCAGACGGGCAGACTCCCCGTTACCCCTGACCCCCAACTTAATTTCGCAGCTGGGCGATCGATCTCGCATGACGTCTGTCTGCATGCATGCATGCCTCATTTGCACACACCTCATGTATGTCTTCCGTAGACACATGGCTAAGTACCCGGCCGGTAGCTTTCTTTAAGGCTTCCTGAAAAAAAAAAAAGAAAAAAAAACCCTTTCAGTTTGGCGTTTCCCGTCTTTTTCTTTCTTCTTTCGCTCCTGGTTTTCCACTGATCGAGTTTTGACAGCCAATTTTGCCGGCCATGCTCTTACCCCTCTCTGTGTCACAGTACCCCCCAGGTCGGCCACCTCAGCGTCCCGTCCTATGGCCGCCCGGGCGACCGCCAATTGGCCCAGATATCTGGACTTTTGAACTCGATCGTACAGACGAAACGCCACGGCAAGGCGCTATTCGGCTTTAAGAAAACAAGAGGTGGCTTGCACTGAGTCCGATTGTTTTAAGGCATCCAAGTACGAGTCTAGCCATATGCGTGGGGTGTGACGGTGTTACCATAACCAGAATACTGACTGCCCGATAACCGCACAAGGTGGGAGATATGCTGGCCCGATCAATTGCGGTGTGTCGAGTTGAGCTCCGGCATCGCCGCACCGTCCAGGGCCGTTTTGTGTTCGAACCAAATTAGCGACTAGCAAAGTGGCCGACGACGACGGCAAAGCCGACTGACTGGCTCCGTCTGGACAGGCTTTGGTAATTACGGTATGTTCTTACTAGCCTTTCCACTCCCATGCAAAACCATGCATCACCGGAGCCTCAAAACGGAGTTACGGACTGCAACTTGGAGTTGAATAGCCTAGCTTGTTCTTACTGAGTAGAATCTTGAATTCAAAAAATGGCATTGTTTGGTTGCACTCTTGTTTCCCAAAGCGATAATTGCTTGAGGTGAGGTATGACAGTATGACCCAACGTCAATGCTAGGCCCACTCTCGGCCCCGGGCTCCGACCCAGACCTCACCTCGGACGCCAGGCCCCACCTTTGTGCCGGGCCCATGGCTCGCCAGCTCGACATTGAGGTGGAAGGAAAGACCACCCAAGTGGTATTTGACATCGTAGACATGGGGTCGAAGAAAGGCATGATTCTTGGACGCCCATGGCGCGAGGATTACGACCTCGACATCAGTTGGAAAGAGGTGGCCACCTGCGACCGAGAAACACTCCGTCGCATCCGACCGACTCGATGGGAGAACGCGCAGAAGAGGAGCAACGTATGGGCGGTACGCACGACGACGCGTTGCCCACGGGCCCACCGCAGGAAGCGAGCAGTGGCAGGGAGACCACGACGCGATCCGGAAGAAGCGGCAGACAACATGATCAGAACAGACGGGCGAACAGAGAAGTAGCCGTCATCTCGATCGACGAACATGGAACACTCGAACTCCAGGGATGGGTCACTGGGTTCGAAGCGGCATTCATCACAGCCGGAAACGACAAGTATTCGTACTACGAAGGTGCGAAGAAGGACGATAAGACAGGGCAGATCCCGGACGAGTACCGAGGACACCCAGCATTCGGGGCGAAGCATATGGAAGGGCTGCCAGATCATGGACCCTGGGATCACGAGATCAAACTCAAGGACGGCGCCCAGTTGAAGTTCTTCAAGGTGTACCACACTAACGAGAAGCAAGACGCGGAGTTACGGAAGTACCTCGAGGAAAACCTTCTGCAAGGACATATTCGACCTTCGACATCGCCAGCAGGCTACCCAGTTCTTTTCGTTCCAAAGAAGGATAGGAAGCTACGGATGTGCGTGGGCTACCGACAGCTGAAGGATCAGACAGTGAAAAACCGGTACCCATTGCCCTTGATCTCCAGACTTCGGGGTCAGTTGGCAGGAGCACAGTGGTTCACACGTCTCGATCTACCCATGGCATACGCACTTATCAGAATCAAGGAAGGCGATGAGTGGAAGACAGTGTTCAGGACACCTTACGGACACTACGAGTATCTCGTTACGCCATTCGGGTTAATCAACGCCCCAGCGACATTTCAAGCAGTCGTTGATCACGCGATCAGACCGTTCCTCGACAGATTCGCAGTCTGTTACCTCGACGACATCCTCATCTTCTCGAACACGCTCGAAGAACACAAGCGACACGTGAAGCAGGTGCTCGACGCACTGCACAACCAGAAGCTCTCAGTCAACAAGGACAAGAGCGAGTTCCACCTCAGGAAGACAGTCTTCCTAGGCTTCGAGATTTTGCCAGGAGAGATACGAATGGAACCCACAAAGATCGAGGCCATCAGGACTTGGCCAAGGCCGAAAACACAACAGAGGTCCGAGGAATCATCGGATTCGCCAACTTCTACCGGATGTTTATCAAGAACTTTGGCGACATCGCACGATCCCTGCACAACTTGATGAAGAAGGATGCCGAATTTCAGTGGAAGGGAGAACACGAGCAAGTATTCCAGCGGATTCGCGACACGATCGCCGCAGATCCAGTACTCGTGTTACCAGATCCAAGGAAGCCATTTGAGGTCGAAACCGACGCGTCAGACTACGCGGTCGGCGGACAACTCAGTCAGAGGGACGAGGACGGCAAGCTACACCCAGTTGCGTTCTTCTCCGAGAAGCTCGCAGGACCACAGCTCAACTACCCGATCCACGACAAGGAGCTGTTGGCCATCATCGAAGCTTTCAAGGAATGGAGACCCTACCTCAGCGGCGCAATACACCCGGTTCAGGTGTACACGGATCACAAGAACCTTCGATACTTCACCTCCACCAAGGAACTGAACGGACGACAGACTCGATGGTCAGAGTTTCTATCAGAATTCAACTTCGTCATTCACTACAAGAAAGGCTCACAAAACGCGCGGGCAGACGCCGTTGAGCAGACGGCCAGATCACTTCGGAAACGACACTGAAGAGTCACCACCTCTATTCCTAGAGCAACAGGACGGATCACTTCGACATGCTTCCCAACCGGTGGAAGATTGCGACGACGCTACACCTCCCCAACCGCGAGAAGATCTCGACACGCAGAGCCACGCCTCCCAACCGCAGAGCAGCCGTTACAACGAGAGCAGCTCTCAACCGCGTGAAGATCGCCGCGTGGACACCTCTATACGCTCGGGAGAGATTGGGGCAGTCTTCAGGGAGCAGCGGCCAGAGGCGGCCAACTGCACGACAAAGGACGAGCAAGAGAGACTCATCAAAATAATCCACGAGTCAAAACTCGGAGGACACATGGGAATCGCCAAGACCATTCCGAAGGTCAGACAGAACTACGACTTCCCGGGACTACGCGAAAGAGTCAAGGACGTTGTCAGCAATTGCGACCTCTGCAACCGAAGCAAGTCGGTGCGACGTAAACCATACGGACTCTTGCAACCATTGCCAGTTGCGGAACAACCATGGAGCTCGGTGACGATGAACTTTATCACCAAGCTGCCGCTCTCGATGGACACAGCGACAGGAGTGAAGTACGACAGTATACTCACTGTGGTCGACCAACTCACCAAGTGGGCATACTTCATCTAGTACGAAGAGGCATGGTCAGCAGAGCAGCTCGCAGACGTGGTCTATCGGTACATCACCTCAAATCATGCATGGCCGGAAGAATGGATCACGGACCGTGACACGAAGTTCGTCTCGAAGTTCTGGCAGGCGTTGATGACACGCTTGGGAATGAAAAGCAAGCTTTGGGCAGCCTACCACCCACAAACGGATGGACAGACAGAACGGCTCAACGAGATCGTGGAACAGTACCTCCGATCTTACGTCAACTACCAGCAGGACGACTGGGTCATGTTATGTTATTGCCAGCGGCGCAGCTTGCGTACAACACGACGCCAACCGAGACCACGAAGGTATCACCGTTCTTCGCGAACTACGGCTACGAGGCAGATTTGCGCCAGGGACCCGAAGGATCGGTTCCCAGGGCGAAGGTCAAGGCAGACCAGATGCATACGCTACACGCGATGCGCAAGGAAGAACTCGAGTTTGTCAGAGACAGGATGAAGAAATGTTATGACAAACACAGGAGGGACCTCGCCTAGAGAGGGGAGACAAGGTCTACCTCATTTCACGGAATCTTCGAAGACGGTTTAAGTCCAATTCCCCTATATTTTATTGCTCATTCACAAAACCGAGGTTTGTTTCCCACAACGCCACACGTTTCAATACCACCTTGCGCGCGGCTACTGGTCAATTCGTATGCTTTCTCACCCCACCTTATTAAAATCGGCCATCCACCTTCCACTCCTTTCCATCTGTTGGAAAATCGTGGAAACTCGGAAGCTCAGCCGTCAGTGCTCGCTGCTCGACGTGAGCGTCAGGTAGCGTGAGGGGTAACCAGGAATAGGGCAACGAGCTACTTCACACGATCAGGGCAATTCCCCCCAACTGGAGAGGAGGGAGAGTCAACACCTTCACCTTCAATCAATCAATTCTTGGTGCTCTGAAGCACGCCAAGCCCACTGTAGTAAGCCCTCTTCTGTGTGGCAACCATGGAATCATGGCTGTTGGTCTGCTAATACCACCAAGAACAACACCAAGAACCATAGTGACAACGCTGTAGGGAATATCGCCGTTGCGCTCCCTTCCGGCAGAATTCCCGGCATGCCTCCTGGTTTCACGGCAACGAAAGCTATGTGCATTTCAAAACCTCCTGCGTCCCAGGCAATGCCCTTACACTCCCGTTAGACGCTTGTGCTCTTGCAGCTCGCTCCGGGGCTGCTGGCAGCTCCTGAACAAGCCTCGTCGGCGCTCAATCGCATCACGGATGAGACGCTGCAGTACCTCAAGCTCAGCATAAGACATCTTCTGAAGCAGCACCGGCGTCAGCCATCTGAATCGACCCCTTCCCCTTTCTCTCTTCCTGTGCACGCCGCTGCTCCTCCTCTACAGCTCAGGTCAATAGAGGTTTAAATGGGAAAGAAATAACTAGTTGGGAATCACTTACCGCGAACAAAGCTGCATTGGGTACGATGACCGGAATAAAAGCAATTTGTGCATGCTCCGCCCAAGATATTGCATAGTAATTTTCTGATCAATTTTGCATAAGTTAACGTTAACTAACGTTAACGTTAGTAATTTCCAATAGTTTGAGCGCAATGTTGTCCTCCGGACAGGATTATAGAACTGCTGATGGTCCGCGCGACTACGCTAATACTACTTCGGTTCTCCGTCTGTCTGCTTCCCATCTCAAAACTGCCCCAACCCTCTTCAGCTTTCGCTCTAGCTGGCCCCATTGCACAACTGATAGAAGCACGACAAGAAGCAGTACAGGCAGCGCAGTAACAAAATACACCCAGAAATTCCTGTGTCCTGGAGTGTAATCATCCGCCATGCTGAACAAGCTGGCGACCCAAGACAGCGGCACAAACACCAGCGCAATGAGAGTGAGTCGGCTAACGTTAGCAGCCTCTCGCTCAGCCCGAACAGCAGCTCCAGCACCTCCTCGAGCGCGGTCTCCACCGACAAGTCCCTGCCGCCCGGCCGTCTACCCCCCAGCGGCTCGTCGCTAGCAGGCGCGTTGTCGCATTCGTCATCAGAGCCGCTCCTATATGCGCTGTCCTTCAGGTCAGAGTCATCTTCCAGGTCCCAGCCGTGTGTGCGGTCCGAGTTGTCTTCGAACTCCGAGTTGTCTTCGAACTCCGAGTTGTCTTCGAACTCCGAGTTGTCTTCGAACTCCGAGTTGTCTTCGAGGTCCGAGTTGTCTTCGAGGTCTGAGTTGTCTTCGAGGCCCGAGTCGTCTCCGCTGTTGTCGTTACCATCGCCAGCAGGAAGGTCTTGGTTGGTACAGTGCTGCATGGTGCTGCTGGACCATCGGCCAGACGACGCGTCGACAAGGTCCCAAAGCCTATGCTCCCAGATGTCTCCCGCCCGACGGAGCACCTCGCCCCGTAGCGGCACGTCCGTGACGCCCGTGTAGTCTGGCCGCGGCGCTGCCGCAAGCCGGTGGCTCCGGAACACGAATGCTATACAACGCTTTCAGAGACGCCGGTACGCCTTCACCGTGCAACGGGATACGAAAGCGAACGGCTTCTTATAACCGTCTTGGCCGAAGCTGCGTAGCCGGCAGAGGACGGACCGGCTCGTATATCTTGCTGTTTCGTCGCATCGGTCGAGCATACGGTCGACCGCGTCCATTAAGAACGAGATCCTCTGCTCGTCCTGGCAGCTGCTGGTTACGTCGGGATCACCGTCGTATGCGCCTTGCCCGAGGGCGCGGTCGCAGGTGAGGTCGCGGCGGTCCGGCAGCTCGGCCAGTGCGAACAAGATGTCACGCCGCACGCCCTTGTACGTCGCCGGCCACTGCGTCCGGTCCATCCATGGAGTTGACGCAGCGAACACATCGCCACCTCCCGTGTCTCGGCCGTATACACGCGGCTGGTCCCCCGAGTCGACAAATCTCTTCTCGCAAGCCAAAATCGTATCCAAGTGTATCTGGGCATCCGGACTGACGGGTAACAGCCGCCCGCGGCCTCGGACCATGTCGGAGGGGGCCTGGGTCTCCAGACTGACCGGTAGTAGGAGTGGTTGCTTCTTGTTTCCCGGCCCGGCGGCTTTCGTGCTCCCTTGTAGTAACCGAGTTGGCACGACCGGTTTCGGCAGCAGAGTCCGCAGCAGGCCACGGACGGTTCGGTCCTCCCGGCAGACCTCGAACCAGCCGCTAGCAGCCCGTGAGGGAAAAAGACGCTGGCATAGCACGCCGTCGATCCACGGGAGCTCCTCGTCTTGCAGCGGCAGCGGACCGGGACCGGCCGGCGGCCTGCCGCTTCTCAGCGGGTTATGCCAGCCATGCACTTTTCGGGCGTGCTCCTGGATTTTCTTCGGATGGCAGACGATATACGGGCATACGCGGCACTTGAGCCCGTCCAGCCGCGGAGGGCCGAGGAATGGGATCGCCTCGGACGTCGGCGGAGGGAATTCGAAGCCGGCGAGGTCCTCCTGCGTCCGGATGATGTCGGGCAGCTGCTGGACCGCGCGGGCGATAGCGTGTCGCTCGGCGACGGGCACATCGGCGTGTCGTGTCCGCAAGTGGGCTGGTACCTCGTTGGCCACACAGGCGAATCGGCAGCGCTTGCAGATTACGACTCGGTGCTGTGGCAGGTGGACGAAGGGCTCCATCGCGGATAACTGTGGTGGTCTCTCTCTGGGGGCCGTCGCTCTTATCTGCTGTCCGTCCGAACCTCTTTCGCCTTTTTAAAAATGGAGTCGCGAGAACGCGCTTCGCATCTCCCTCAACCCCCCTGGAACCGTACCCCCGGAACCGTACCCCCGGGCAATCGAACCCTACCCCCCGGGCATCTCTTGGGCTCGGCCAATGGCAGGGCGGAACTCTACCCCTGGGAAAGCTCCAACACCCTGGACGGAACTCTACCACCCCAAGCGCCAAGAGATGCCTGTTTGGGAGAAGCGCGCACGTGGAAGGCCTGTTCGGTGGGGTTTAGTGGGTCCGGGAGGCAGAACTCTACATGGGTGCGGCCAATGGCAAAAAGGAACCGTAGGGGAACTGCACCCAATTCCGAGCGATGATGCTTCTAGTAGTTGACTTGTGGGCTGCTCTCGTCGGCGCGTGATCTCGTCCACTGCCCAGCTTCGAAGATATCTGGAGGAAGCTGGTTAGCCAGTCAACAGGTGCAGCGTTGCCAGGTTTTGTTGTCGTTGACCGTCCAGGGCCCCACATGATTGCTGCTAAACTTAGCTCAATCTCTGATGTACAACCAGAGACAGCAGAAGATGGTGATCATCAATGGTGGTGTATCCCATACAGTAGTGATGCTGGATGTGTGATGGCTCTGGTGGGCAGGGCTGTAACCCCTGCACCAGATGTGGGGCAACCCGGTCTGCCATGAATGTGGGGCACCACCCACAACAATCTCAACCAGGCGAACGACGGGTCCCAAAGCGGGATCCGGGAACGTGGATTCGAAACCCCACCAGAGCAGCGGATCAGCAGGACCACGATCTGGCGGACCGAGATGCACCGTCCTGATCTGCGGCGAGAAGCCGCAGCAAGCGGCCGGCAGCTAGGCACGGCCCGCGGAACTATCGCTGGCGATGGCTTCCATGGCACCGGAAGTCTCCCGAGTAGTCTTGGCTCAGCCTTGCCGGTTAGCACCGAGCAGGTTGTTGCTAAAATTAGCCGGTTCCAGTTCGTCGCGCTGCAGAAGAGGGGTCCGGAGAGAAAGGATGAGCCCAACTTCGCAAACCCACCTCACCACGCCGGAACCTACGCGGACCCGACCGACGGGATTTCACCTGCTTTCCGGAGCCGACTCCGGCGCAATAACCGATGGACCCAACCCGGCCGCGGCGCCCAGCCACGCGGGCCGACTTCGAGATTGCCGTCATCTGCGCTCTCCCAATTGAAGCCGATGCCGTCCACGCCCTTTTCAACCGCCACTGGGACGATGACGGGCCGCCCTACGACAAAGCCCCAGGCGACCCTAACGCGTACTCCACCGGCGCTATCGGCCGCTACAACGTCGTCCTCGCACATATGCCAGGCATGGGCAAGGCTAGCGCCGCGGCCGTCGCCGCCAGTTGCCGCGCGAGCTTCCCCAGCATCAAGCTCGCCCTCATCGTCGGCGTTTGCGGTGTCGTTCCCTTCCGTCCCGGCAGCAGCGGGACGGCCGAGACCGTACTCGGCGACGTTATCGTGAGCGATGGTGTCGTACAGTACGACCTTGGACGGCGACTACCCGGACAGTTTGTGCAGAAAGACACGCTTCTGGACACCCTGGGCAGGCCGAACACCGAGATCCGCGCGCTACTCGCCAAGCTCAA